ATATAATTTTTGAACTTTTTCTTTTGGAATTTCTCTCTTACACTCTTTACAATATCCCCCTTTCGTTCCACAACTTACTGGATGTTCATGTTTCTCTCGACATTCTTCACACATAGGTTTTCTACAAGTTACACAAACACATTCTGTCAATTGACCACATTCACACTTAAATGAAAAAGTTTTTAATTTTAATTCATAAATTTGTTTTGGAAGATGTTGACATTCTTCAATTGACATTTCTATATATTTAAGTTCTATTTAATGTTTAAAATGAACTTATTAGTTTATTTTGATCATAACAAAAACATAAAAATATGATAATAACAAAGAGAATAATATTTGTCATAAAAAACAAAAGAATGATGCATGAATAATGAAATAATTTATTTCATTTTTATTCAGTCTTATTATAACTTTTTGTAATTTTATAATTGTCTTTATCATTTTATATTTCTTCTTTGTTAAAGTAAAGTTATATTGGATTTTAATGTTTTTTTATTTATGAACTGTGTTAAAAAATAGTTAAGTACATTTGCTTCCTTTGGTTATAACCATACAGTTATATGAAATAATACCTATTCAAAAGTACTATAGTTTTGAAAATAACTACATTAGTTTAAGTAGGAAGTAATTAATGGTAATATAATTAAATTAAACTACTGTTTTAATTGATTTAAATACTATAAATTTTATTTTTTTTATTCAAATTAATATTCTTTTCCTTTTTCTTTTGTATTATATTTATTTATTTATTTTCTAATTGTATTTTGTTAATCTTGTCTTATGTATTATGAAGTATTTGTTAATAAAATAGATTTTCATTTGATACATTTCATGTTTGGAAATAAAATTATTTTCTTGTTTAAATTCTTTGTTGATGAAATTATGAAATGATTATTTTTAATTATCTCATTGATACAATAACTATGTTTAGAATAGTATAAATGTCATGGTTAATATGTTATAATTAAAATAAACATTCATTTCTGTATTTTTCATTTATAGTATTTTATTTAATATATTCTCTTTTAACAATATCCAATATATTCATTGTGTTAAATTGAATATTGATTATTATAACATTTCATTCATATTTATTTCATTCATCTGTTAGTGTATTTGATTCTTTAATATGTTAATGAAATAAATCAATAAAGAGTGATTAATATAAATATTATGTAATTGAAAATCAAATAATAATTTAATGAAAGAAGAAAAGAGAATAAATACAATGAATTAATAATAAATTAAATGAAATATACAAAATATTGTAAAAATGTTAAAAATGAGACATTGGATTAGTAATTTTACAATTGATGAAATTGATAATTAAAATAAACAAATAAGTAATAATAAATATACAGAATTACATGGTTTAAATGATACATTAGAATATTTTAAATTAATGAATATTATTAAAAATGTATGTTATAATGAAATATAGAAAGAACATTGTCATAGATTAATGATAAATTCATTTTATATTTCTTTAATTTCTTTATCATTTGCAATTTATTATTAGTTTGTTCAATTCATTTATAATTGTGAAGTAGATGAATTAAATTCATCGAGTTAGTGTGGATATTTTATAAAAATAAACAAAAATAATAAAATCCATTAAATATAACATAATGTTTTATTAAACGAATGAAGAATTAATTAGACTTTCAATTATTGTTATTCAAATTTATGAATAAACGAATTAAATTACATTCAATTGATAGTTTAATAATGGATGAATTGAATTATCTTTTGGTGCAATAAATTGTTCAATAAACTAAATGTAGTTGTAGAACATATGTATTAATATATTACAATAAGAAGAATCATTGAAGAGTGTAGTAAATAAATTTATCAATAATATTCATTGGTTATTCTTAAACATCATTTATTAATTACTATATATTTTAAATCATTGAATAACCATTTTATCAATAAAATGATAAATCTATCAAGAATGATACTTAATGTTGAAGAATGTGAGTGATATTTAAAAGACATATTACTTAATAAAATAATATCATTGTTTTGAATAAAATATAATATTTTGTAATATATAACAAAAAACATTTAAAAATAATGAAAGAATTTTGTTGGGATTTGGTAATTTATTACATAGAATAACATTATTAAAGCTGTCATTAATAAAACAAAACGTCTATTTATTGTATACAAAACTAAATAATTGTCATAATCACTCAATTGAAGTCATTGAACAAACCCATTGTTACCCAAAAATAAACAAATGAAAGCTGTTTATCTACTTTTTTATTCTTTGAAAAAGTCTAGACGTTTCAGCCAACTCTTATAATGACATGAACTTTACTCTCAAAAAATGATTAATAGATTTATGAAATAAAATAGTGTTAGAAATATAGAAACGTAATAAAACCAAGAGGTTAGGGAAAAAAATTTTTTGTTAACACAACAAAAAGGAAATGAGAAAGAAAAATTGAACAAAATCAGGAGAATAACATACAAGAAGCAAAATAAAAATAATCTTATTCATTAAATAAAAAAAAAGAATAAAAAATTAAAAAAAAAGTAGCTAAAAAGTTATGAGCAGAGAAGAAATTTCATAATAAAATGTATGAAAAGAAACAAAAGAGATAATGAGTCAAATTATTCCAAAAAGATGATAATAATAAAAAGAAACAAAAGAAGTAAGAATAAAAGAAAAGAATAAGAATAAATGTGATATTTATCTAACAAGTATTTTATTTATAACAATTAAAGAAATTTAGTTTTTGCACTATACTTCGATAAAACAGAAAGAAGAAAATGAATATAACATTTAACATAAATAAAAATATAAATTTAGTTTGAAATACGTGGTATTACATTTAGTTTGTTGTTGAGAAAGGTACTAATTAATAATAATGATTCTTTTCAGTATATTCATAGCATTATTTCAAGCAAAAGAATTAATTGATAGTCCATGTTTTGTTTGTTTTAACAATGAAAATCAATAAGAACATAAAGAAAACTAATAAACAGACAGATTTTAGAACTGAAATCAACAAAAATATTGGGAAGTCTGGAATTGTTGGTAAAAAATCATATATAGAAAAAGAATGTTTTTCTAGTGTTCCAGACATTCAGACAAATGTAATGGCTTATACTTCACAATCAAGTTGTTATCTTCCTAGACATTTATTTACACGTTCATTTAAAAATCAAACATATACAAGATGTGGATTATGTTTAGAAATTACTGGTCCATCATTATTAACTACTACATGTACTGTTGTAGGATCTACTTATATGAATGCAACAACTCCATTTGAAAAAGATTCATATTTAAGAACTATTTTTGTTGATGAACATTTATTTGAATATTTATCAGGTTTTGAACCAAATATTGCAGAAAGTATGGTAATACCTATTGTTGCAAGACTAACAAGTTGTTTATTAAAAACATTTCCAGCAGTAGTAATTTCAAATATTATTAAAAATTCACCTACAAAACATACTGCTGAAGTTTGTGTTTTTAATGGAAATGCAATTCTTCAAAAAATTAGAATTATGGGAAATACAAATAAACAAGATTTAACTTCATTATTATTTAATATTCCATTCAATCCTCAAACTGATTTAAATAAGACACATGAAATGAAAATTTTTGATTATTTAGGACAAAGTGTTCTTCTGAATTTTAAATTTGAACTTCAAACAATTCAATCAACACAAACTCATTTTGGTGATTTAATTAAACCTACAAAATGTTATTTAAGACCAGAAGAAATGATTATTTCTGATCATTTTACATCATCCGATCCTTATTTTCAATGGACTGTACATGTTCATAATCCAAAGAATTTTAGTGACTTTTTTCAACTTAATAAAACAAACCCAACATTCTCTTTCTTTAATGAAACATTAGTGTCAATCACTTTTCCTTTCCCATTAAAGATTTCTCATCATTATACCGTATTATTCCAACAATATACAATGGATCATCCTTTTATAAAAACTCCTACATTAAAAGCTATGTATTTTATTGATGATTTAACTAATGCAAAAGAAGTACATTGTATAAATGATTTTGAAAGAGAAACAACGGTAAAACGTATTAATGAAAAAGTTCAATATTCAACAAAAACTGGGATTAAAATTGCTAAATGTAATGGTTATGTAAATGTTGCTTCTGGTTATTTTATTACTGGTGTTCAAACAGAAATGACAATTGACTCAATGTATTTTACTCCTTTTAGCACATTAAATTATACAAAATGTCCAACTTCTTCATATTATTGTCAACCAACAGATGAATGTGATCCAACAAATTCAACAATAGACTCTGATGATGGTAAAGTAATTACGTACCCAGAAGGCTGTCATCCTTATTGTGGAACATGTCTTAGAGGATTTAAATGTAATAAAGCAGCTCGTTGTGTAAAACCAAAGTCTAAAAATACACGAAGTTTTTCAAACAGAATAATGGTGGTAATGATTACAACACTTCTTTTATTGATTTTTTAAATTTTATTCGTTCTTTTTGTTTATTTTTGATTAAAAATGAAATGAAAGTAGAAAATTTAGAAACACAATATAAACATTAAAATCATTGTTTTATTTATCATTTTTATCTTCTTGTTATGTTGATTTCATGGTTGGTTAGAAAATGTAATGTTCATTGTTGTATAAATGATAGTGTGGATTATTTGGATGTTGTAATGTCATGTGTTATATCAGAATATGTGTATTTGTAAAGATGATAATATTAATGAATTGGTAATGGTGGGAATATGTTTGTAATGAATTGTCTGAATCAAAGAAATTGTATTATCAAAGAAAATGATTTACATGTTAAGAAAGTATGGAATATTCATAATAATGAAGTGATAATGAAGTTAATGAAGTGATAATGAAGTTAATGAAGTGATAATGAAGTGATAATCAAATAAGAAATAATAAAATAAAGAAGAGTTTTAATAACAAACAAATGAAATGAAGAATAAAAATGAAGAAAAATGAAAGAGATTAAATCAAAATCAATCAAAGAATGAAGAAAAGAAAAACACATGTTAATAAAAACGAATAAAAGAATAAATGATGAACAAACTTCAAACACAAAGATTGTGATTAATTTTTCATGAACCAAAAATGATATAAAAAACATAATACCAATTAATTAACTACTTTTTCTATTTCTTATTTCATGATTATTTATATTTTAATTTGTATTGCCTTCTTACTTTCTTTTCTGTTAATATTGTGTGTTTTTATCATTATTTTTGATGAGATGTTTAGTTTATCTTTTTTGTTATTAAAAAAAATGAAAAATAGTAAAAATAAAATAAACTAATTATAGAAAATAACATTATTATAATTTTATTATTATTATATTATTAATATTATTATATATTTATTGTTATTGTAAAAATGATAAAAATAACATTTATTTAAAATAGAATGATGTTCAAAATAATGATTAACTTGATGTTAATAACGTGTATTAACTATTTAAACATCCATATTTTGAACTTTTAAACATCAAATTAAATTAAAATGGAAGAATTAATAAACAAGAATAACCAAATAATTAAAGAAGTAATAGAAACACTTCCAAACATTCAACAATCAATTGATGATACTACTAAGAAATATCAATATTATATAGGAAGTATTAAAAATGAAGTATTTAGAATAAAAGATAATGAAACATACTTAGAAGCAATTAAAAGAGGAGAAGGAATATTTGATAGGATTGATGAAACAGAAAGAAGAAGAAAACTAGTGATAGAAAAAAGTCAAGAAACAATCAACCAAATAAAAATAATGAAGAAACAAATCAAAAGAATCATACAAGAATGTAAATCAGATGAAGAAACACTAAGTAAAACACGGAATGAAGTAATAAATAAAATCATTTCAATTGAAGAAATGAAAATGAAAAACAAAATATTCAAAATACCAGAAGAAAGAGATAAAATCACCTCAGAATTTAATAAGAAGAAAGAAGAATGGGAAACATATTACAGTGGTTATGAAGAAGTGAAGAAACAACATCAAGAAGAAAGATTAAGAATAATGAAAGGAATGAACACAATGGAAGAAATGAGACAAATAGAAGAATGGACAGAAAAAAGAATAAATAATACCCTATTTGATTCAGATAAAGATAATTGGAATAAATCTACATCAGTATTTGATCAAAGAATAAAGAATAAAAAACATATAATAATTATTATTGAAGATGAAGAAGGAAATAAATTTGGAGGATATGTTAATGAGAAAATTGATAAATGTGGTTATATAACTGATTCAAAATCATTTGTATTTTCATTACAATCAAATGGAAGAATAGAAGAATGATGAAATTTGATATTAAACAACCACAATACGCATTTAAAATATATAATCAATCAAGTGATTATTTGTTTGGATTTGGAAATGGATATGGTGATATTTATGTTTTTAAAGAAAATAATAAAACAAAATCATGTTGTAACCCATATTCTTTTGAATATAAAGGAATATCAAATGCACTTTGTCAGGAATATCCAGAATGTTTCACACCAAAACGAATCATAGTAATTGAAATGAAATGATTCAATCTTGAATAATTGAAAATGAATTAAAAAGAATAAAAACAAAACAATGAAGAATATGAAATGGTGAATTAAAAATGGACAAATTCAATGTTGATTTATTTTATTTCATTTGAAATCTTCACATTCAATGATGATGTTTTTATTAAATAATAAAAGAAATAAGAATGAAAGAGAAATAAGATAAAATGAATAAACAATTTATTTGTATCATTTCATTGAATTAATTCATTATGAATCAAATGAATAAGATAATAGAAATAATTAGTTAAATTATTGAATAGAATTGAACATAATTTAATTCCAACTTCTTATTCATTTAATAATTAAATAATATATTTCTTATTCATTTTCAGTTTTAAATTGAGTGATAGTTGATTTCTTTCAAATTAATCTTATCAAGTCAAATGACATTAATATTTAGTATAGAACAATGCCTTATATATTTATCAGGAGTAAACTTAATTTTAATAATGTTAATTAAATGTTAGTACATCAATTAATAATTATAAATATCAATAATATTACAACAGTGATCTAATTCCAATTAATTTAAAACAAATTTATTTGACATATTTCTAATTCAATATGGTTATATTAATAAATGATAGGATATGTATTACAAATACAAAGAATATTAATCAATGAGGATGATATTTAATAATTAAAACAACTTCTTATTCTTATGAATAGAAAATAATAGGATAAAAAAAAATACATTGGTAAAACAAATGAAAAATAAACTAATCAATAAATAATCGAAGAGAAAATAATACTATAATAATTAAACAATGAAAATAAATGTAATGAACTTAGTAGTAACCAAAATAAAATTAATAGAAGTTGAGAAGAAAGATAATTTAAAGAATATAACACACTCCAAACTATATTAATTCAGAGATGTACATTGAATTAAAATAGTAATGAAAATAAATATTAATATAAAAATAAATAATTTTAATAATAAAACTATCGAAATTATCTTTTTATTTTTGTTCATCATTCAATAAAAAGAATATTTTTTATACAAAACGCAATATTATAAAAATAAAATGATTTGAATTTTTTATTGTATTGATTTTAGATTCATTTGTATTTCTTTTTTTATCAAAATAAAACGATGATTCTTCTTACAAATCCATAAAGTAAAATAAATTAATAATAATCTTTTTCTATAAAACAAATTTTCCTTTTTTGTTAAATGTTAAAAACCAGGGTTTTCACATCGAGAAACATATTCTTCATGAAATGAAGAATCAATATTCCCCGATATGATATTATACACTTCTTTATCAGCACTACAATATTCTGATATTTCTGATAATTCATGAATAGAACTAACACATGACATTTCATCATAATAATTCTCACATACCCCTTCAGAAGCACTTAAACTTTCACATGACTTTTCTTTAATCAAATATCCACCATATTTTGATTGCATATTAATATTCTAAGTGTTTTTACTTCATTTAAAGATCTATTTGTACAACTGTCTTACCCTGGTTGGTCTAAAACCAAGTTATTTTTACTATATTTAGACATTTTCACTAAACATTTTTTTTTTGTGGTTGTTGGAGTTTTTTGTGAGTTTCTTCCTTTTTTTTTATGATACTTCTTCATCGATTATCTTAGTGACACAATCATATTGGTTTTGAAAATCGAAATTTCAATTTTTTTTTCTTATTTGTTTTCACTTTGTTGTTTTAATATTTTTGTTATGAAGGATAAAATGGTTTTGTTAATATTTAAAAAATCAATTGGATTGAAAAGAGTCAATGAGAAAATATAAATTGTCAAAATAAAACAAAGAAAGGTAAGTCAGTTAAGTAGGTAATATTTGTGGTTTTATGTTATCAAAAACAAAGTAACAAAAAAGGATAATAAATAAAAACTATGTTAACTCATTTCCACAGCAACAAATTCATTAAAATATCCTTCTCTTGGAAAATAATTTTTAAAATTAAATGAACGATCCTCAACACAATAATAATATAATGTAGTATCACCAAAATAATATGAAAAATTACTTCGTGTATATAAAAATCCAACACATGCAATTACTCTATCAACATATTCATCTGATGCACCAACAATAAATGTTCTATCAGTTATATTAAACCGTTTCATTGTAAATGGAGTAATTCCTGATGAATGTTTTAATAATGCAAGAAAATGATTTGTTGCATCAAGAAAAGCAGGTCCAGCAGAAGGTTGTTGAGGAATAGTATTTCCATAATACATAGCAAAAACATTATCACCATCATATTTCATAAGGAAATAAACATTTTTATGACCTGCACATTTTTTCATTAAAGTTCTTTTATTTAATCCATCTTTTGTTGCACGATAAATAATTTGATAATGTGTTTTATTTGACCATTTTTTTAATAAGTCTATTTCATATTCTCCAATTGGTAATATTTCTGGTAATGTAGTTGCCGTTAAAATTGATTTACTTTGTTCACTAAATTGACTTAATGTATTTAAAAATTTTTTCATTTGTTGAACTTCATTTGGAGTAATTTCCATTGCTTTTAATGGATCAATAGTCATTGGTTCAATTTCCATTAATTTTTTTTGTGAATGATTTTCTTGATTAATTTTAGTTATAAAGTTTTGTGAATGATCAATTGAATTAGAATTAAATTGTTGACAATGTAAATTAATAATACCACAGTTAGTTATATAAATTTGCATAAGAAAAATAGAATTAAGATTCATCTTTTAAAATGTAAGGAAAAATAAAAGAATAATTAATAATAAATAATAAATAAATATTCTAATAAAAGAATAATTTATAATAAATGGAGGTTAAAATTCGAACTTATAAAAAACTAAAGTCCAATTTAATTTAATTTAAAGAAATGAAAGTTGAAATTAATAATTTTGGTATTATTCATATTCATTGCAATCATTGTGAATATT